TTTTAACACACAATTTTGTTTACAATTTTTAAATATTGATAAGAGTTTAAAAAATGGGCTTTGGATCAATTTAAAAAATGATGAAACAAACTCGAATAACATAGTTTTCCCATTATCATCTATCTACACTAAATTTTACAATTTTGGTATTAAAAACTAACAAATGTTTGTAAAAATAATAAAATTTACTACTCATATTTATCATCATCTTAATTTGATTAGTGTGTATATTTATTTATACACATAACTAAAAAAATACATAGCAAGATGTATACCGGCTCATCCAAAAAGATCAGCTTCAGATCAATAATTAGTGTTACTACAAAACTAAATCGACGTTTTATTCCACCACAATAACTTCATTATTTAAAGGTGGATTCAGTTTTCTCTATCTTCTCAGCAAAATTATGTGAGAAGCACGAYCGCCTTCCTCATTTTAAAAGTATTAGATGGATTCAACTTTCTCTATACTCTCGGCAATATTTTGGAAGATGGACGAATGCTTTTCCCATTTTTCTATATCTTTAGTTCCTCATACTGTTAATTTAAAGATGGACTGTTTGGGCCTATTATGCCCGTTCTTAGAACTGTATATTTTTTCTTGTAAACAACTTTCTGCAAAATTTTAGTTGACAAAAAAAAAGAACTTCATTATCTAACTTTTGTCGTTCCTGTCAGTTTTACATTCGCTGATAACTTCTCAGAACAAAAAACCAAATTTATAAGCAAAACAAAGTATACAACTTATTTATAGTTATTTTTTAAAATATAATTAAGATATGTATACTCTAACCCGTCTAATACCTTTTTCAAGTGTATGTATATCTCTAAAAAAAATTCTACAATAGCTTGTACTTTTTTTATTCTTGTATAATATCCCACACATGCTTCTAGTGATAGGGTCCATATATGTTGTCTCCAATCCATGTACTAAAACATCATCTAAATGTCATTTGTACGTATATTTATGAACACAACAATTTGTATACCGTGTCATTTTAAAAAATCAGATTGGGATCATTATTGAGTATTGAGTGTTACTGTAACATTAAGTATCAGAATATTTCTTAAGATTATGAGAAATTTGCTGCACGATCATAATAAACGAATCTCAACAATATCTTCAAAGCATCTGAAGATTCCTTAAAATTCTCATTGAACACCACTTAATCAATTTTATTTAGTTGATTGTAAATATGAAAAAAATTAGATTCTCTTCACTTAAAAATTAGTAGCTCTCTGCTGGACGTTATTTGTTATTTGTTTTATATTTAATTGCCCATAATATTTAGCGTGTCAATTGTTTAGTACATTATATATTTAGATATTGCAGTATTGTATTTTACATTGTTTGTCTTTGTCATTAGTGGAAGTAGATATAGTTGAGTATGTTGTATACACAAAAATAAAGTAGTTTGAGATAAATTTGTTGTTTTTGTTTAGTAAATAATTTCATTTTTTCTTCTAATTGTGATTATTTGTCTATTCGTTGAATTTCACCCGCACTACTTTGCGATCGTATTTTTTGTTATGTTATAAACTATATAATATGTTTTAACTTTAGATATTGCATGTTTTTAGCTTTGACATAGAAATCGATTAATTTGAAATAATACAATGGTTTTTGTTTTTAACTTGTAGGTAGAAATCGATTAGTTTGAAATATTTTATTTGTATTGAATAATCATAAGTGAAGTATAAATAATTGACTAAGTTGTATTAAAATGTATATACAAAAATCGAGTAGTTTTCAATAAATTAATTATTTTGTTTAAATATTTTCCATTTTGAATTTCGTTTAATAAATATTTTTGTTATTATTTTATCTAAACTAATTGAGTTTATTTGTCTAATTGGGCTTATTTCTTTGGTAAAGTGTTTTCTTGATATAAATAGTCAAGGTAGTAATATTAATCATATTTACTGATATAGATATAATATTTTGTAAAATTTATACTTTTCTATTTATGTTTTTTTTATTTGTATATGTATTAAATTTCGGAGCAAAACCCGCATCTTTAAAAATTCTTATTAAATATCAGTGAATTTTATGAATTTGTAAATTAATATTCGTTTATATAATTTGCAAAGAGTTATATTATGCGGTCTAATTATTCAGTTCAACGAAATAACAAAAT